AAACTCTCCATCGAACTCCTCGATCCCAGCGTACCGTCCTTTCCAGGCAGTGTCATTCGCGGGCACATCGTACGACAAGCTCCACTAGACGCACCCTCAGCCACTGTTCGCGCACGCCTCCAAGGTCGCGCCAAAGCAAAATTGGTTTCTGATAACGGAAATTCCAAGAGCACCTACCGCAGTCGCTTCCCCTTCTGGGACGAGTCCGACGTTTCTGACATTGTACATGAAGGCGCCATCGACAGAGGCGCCGAAGAAATTCTGTCCTGGCCATTTTCGCTGAAGATACCAACAGATGTCAGCGAGAAGGCCGTGAATAGGGGTTTGAAAGACAAGGAGAAGAGAGATTACTTCATCAAAGCGCCACTGAAGACCGACGGCGCGGCGGAGATTCCTGGACAACCGCTGCCGGGCACTTTTCACTACAGCAACAGCGGCTTCAGCAAGAAGTGGCACGGCTATGTCGAGTTCTGGATCGAAGCAACGATCACCGTTAAGAGTACCAAAGAGAGGGTGGGAAAGACTTTCCAGGCGACACTGCCAATCAGAGTCAACTCGAAGCCACCTCCTTGGCCGCCCATTCGCGACTTTGAGTTGACCACGCGCAAGTGCCCAGGTTGCGTGAGCAGCCATCGTCTGGTTCCAGGCATGGAACAAGCGGAACTATCTCTCAAGCAGAAGACTCGGAAATTCTTTGGTTCGTCAAAGGTGCCATCGCTCAATTACGCGGTCGAAATGAAGTGTCCGGCAGTCATTCAGCTGGGCAATCCTTCAACTATTCCCTTCACACTGAGCGCCATTCCCAACTGGGAGAAGACCTCCGAGGTGATCGCAAACGTCCCACAAGTCATGACGATCGAGAGTGTCACGGTGGAAATTGAGACAACAACAAGCATTATCTGTCCCGGTACACTCGACACGCATTCGGCTGATAAATCGTGGAAGATGTTGTTGGCGAAGACGAGCCAGGATGTTAACCCGGTTGATGGAAGTTTGACATTGACGTGTGGGTCTAACGAGAAGCTCCTCGACTTGGGCGCTGTTCTTGGGGTGAAGCTGGATGTCCTCGGCCGAGTGATTGATGCTCATACCGGAAAGTTTGCCAGCCCGGCGGGTGTGAAGATTGAGCCATCGTATCTGACATACTGCATGAAGGTGGAGCACATGCTTCTGTGGGAGATCAAGTTTGTGGTAGGAGGAGAATCATGGGGATGTTCAGGGAAGCAAAAGCTCCGTGTACTTCCGCAGAGTCTCGGTCTCACCGTTGGTGACAATGGGGAGATTGTCCTGAAGGGGGAGAATTCTATGGCAGAGGACGCTCTGTCTTTCTTAGCGACTGGAGTTGACATTGCTTCATCGTCGTTAGACGCATATGGAGCCATCTCAGACTTGACCGAGTTGTTGGGTGGCTGAAAGTGATAGTATGTATGTGATGGACATATATACTGGGATCGAGCACACGAGGGAAGAGGCGGTGATTCGGATAAGCCACAAACCTGGATGGATAAGCATTATTTAATTGTTCCTGGAAACAAAATTAGCAACAATAGTTTCAGTCCAAGTGTGTTCACAATGTGAGGTGACCGAATGTTTCACCGGAATATAAGATGACCCTTAGCATATCCTAAGCAGACTGCCGGGTGAGCCTTCTAATTGTCTTCCGATGAGTAAGTAGGAACATAACTTTCGCCGAGACAAAAAGGGGCATGAAGCTTCTTAAGCTGAAGAACAACCCACAGAAGCAGTACTAAGTCATACCGACCGAATTAAGCTAGATCCCAAGTTGAGATCAGGGCACATAGCGATCTCACAGACAGGCAACATCAACCAACTGCGGCCGGAGCCGGAGCCGGACTAGCACCCGGACCCGGGCCGTCCGCCCCCACAATACCCCTGGTCGCTTATCTAAACCCTCAGAATGGTTGGCGCGGGGTTCCTCGAGTGATATGCCCCCGCCCCTCACGATTCTGACGCCGTTCAAGCCCGACCGCCAAGCCAAACGCCAAGATGGAGACCGTTCCGGACCCCCGAGACCTCCCGCCGGACCCTCGTCTCCCGGGCGAACAGCCCCGATACTCGCGCGACAACATTGTCACCGCTTTACTATCTTTCTACGAGAGTTTGCCTCATATCGACCCTTCCCTCATCCGACGAGCCCCGCCAGGGGGCTGGACCGAGATTACCCCTGAGTCTCTTGCTGCTGCCAAGATGCGCCCAGCTGAACGAGTCATCGACTTGATCCGTCACCTCCCATATATCGATGGCGAGCCTCAATCGCTCTGGATCACGCCCGAAACTTTCCCTATCAACTACCACAGCGTCGTGACCAAGGCGACAGCAGGTACCTTCATGCCGGGGTGGATGAAAACGCTGGGACACGACCATTTTTATGAGTTTCCGCCGTGGGTTTTTCAACTTACCACGAGTGTTGATCGAGACGGTGACATCTGGCTTCTGGATACCATGGACGGAACTGTGACCAAGTATATCATCACTGGGGCTGTTTATCCAGAACCAGTGGGAAGGTATCAACAAAACGATCCACGAATGTGGAGGCAAGTGTATTGTGATGAAGACACCCTCAATCTGAAGAAGTGGCTAGATGGCGTATCAGAGAAGTACAAGACCCTTCAGTGGTTTGGCATACCTCGCGCACAGCACCCGGGAGTTTTCGGACCGAGAGAATATGATGATGAAGAGTCCGAGAGCTACAAACAGGTTGAAGTAAGTCGCAATTCACCCACAAGACTGTGCATTAACCTTACTGATTCTTTTAACTTAGGAACTTAAGGGAATTTATGCACAGCATGGATGGCCCGATCGTTACAACGGCGACGATTGCCGCCAAAGATTGCTTGAATGGGCAGCTAAAGCCAAGGAATAGCACCAACTGCGTCCAGTGTCATGGATAGCCTCGCCGATTCTCAAACAATACAGTAATGAAACGAAGATACAGACAGATATGTACATACTATGTGGGTAACGAGTCATCTTAAATATCCGCGCATCAAGACGCTATCGGTTTCGGCATCTCAGAATCAACAGACCGCCCTGCTTGGCTTGAAGACAAAGATGCGGTCCAGTGTGGTGGGCCGATGATTATTACTGTGTTAGCATCAAGGTTGCTACCACTGACCCGACGCAAGATGGCATCAACTCAAACTGCGCGAGGTACCAAAGCACTCTCTGGGGCAACTTGCACCACTTTTGCAAGCTCCAATAATACCTACAGACAGGTAGCTGTACTTAAGCTTGGAATCCTGTGCTGGGGACGAAGTGGTAGAATTGCTTTTCCTCGACGTGCGTAGATGAGTACTGCCGCATTAGTAGTTGATAGTGAATTATCCTAGTCGGTCTCGACGAAGAAGGGCTAGCTTGATGGCACTTCACCAACTGCAAAATATGCATGTCTTTTCAATTTTTGACTAAAACGTTGAGTGTAACATGGCACCCTGTGCCTACTGCAATGACCGAGCTTTAGTTCTTTCCCTTCATCGCCTACCTACGAAATAGGACCCAGTTTGACCTTGCAATCTCCGGACCCTTTTGTCTTTTGGGAGATGGCCAGGTCGCAAAGGTTTCCAACCAGGTCAAACCTGACTTATGTATAACACTCTGCAGCGAATCGCCATCCACAGTTGACTGGTTTTATTTCTCTTGGACTGATCGTAACTTTCAAGATATAAATAACTCTGCATTCTATCTTCTAACTTGCTCGTACTAGTTGATCATTCGCGGCTTATCTTCGAGATCTGAAATGAACAATCCGAACCGATCGCTCTCTGCGGAGGTGCGCAAAGCTTACAACAGAAAGCTCCTTCCAGGAGAAAACATCAACGATATCTCGAGTCTTTCCATTCATCGCATTGCGCGCGTATTCTCTCGGGAGCGCCTTTTGGTTCATCCGCGCAAATGGACGGCGCGCCAGCTTCAGCTCCTCCGTTGTGTCTTTGCTGGGAATACACAACAGCCTCCTGGACCTCGGAATGAAGTTGCGTATAAGCATTTCCAGTCGCATGAAGCACTCGACTCTTGGTCTGCGAGTGAAGAGTTGTCAGACGGTCCGCCCAGGAAATGGGGAAAAGAGCTGTATGGCGTATTTCACGATAAAACAGATGTCATGCGTCAGCTCCTGAAATCTGCCTCCTTCAAAACGATGTAAGTACACAAGTTTTATCATAACGTGTTTCTTCTGATGCCTTTAGGGTCGTGTTTCTCCGATTCGAAACCCAAATGATTCCCCTTCTAGGTGATGGCTTTTCAAGCCCTCCTTCACCTCTGAACGGGCTTATCTTCTCTGTTGTGCACATAGATTTATCGGCCCTTCAGCGTCATTGTTTCTACGGTCAAAAAAGATGGATTCGTCAGAGGCAGCTTGCCGCCGACCTGAACCCTAATCCGTATATCACAGCGCTGATCGTTGCGCAGGCTCAACGAAGCCGAAGTCGAGGGTTTTGCGCCCGGCTAGAGCTAGGTATTTCCCAAGAGGATACCTTTCACAAGGTCAGAACTCAGTCTGACGGCGGCCAATCAGTCTTGAGCCAGATTCGTTTACTGACCATAGTCAATCAGGTTCATGTTCTCATTTCGGACCAGTCCTTTAACCCCAGCATGGATGTGTACACGGCGTTTGTTAATGATGCTGTCGTTGATAGGTTTGTGAAACCTTGGGACAAGCCTGGGCCTTCTCACCTGACTAGCGTCGAAATACGTCATTCCAAACTGCCCTACAGACCATACAAGACTTTTCATACACGTCTGATGACGGAATTGTATAATGGCCATTGCGACGTGGGGACAAGCCAAGACACAAATGCATCAGAACATTGCAAGGGCGCAGGGGACGTTTGATGAGGCGTTGGGTATCAAGTTTGGTATCCGGTGGACAAATACCTCATAAAGGATGTATAACATGAGAGTGAAACTGAAACAAGTACAATCTGTAGACACACAGCATGTATAGACAAAATGTTTTCGGAAATGCGGAATTTCTATCGGCATCACTTTGCTACACCCCATCCCTCTCTCGATGAAGCACGAGAAAACGGTCCACGCTTGACAAGCGTCGTTTCCGCAACGACACCACCGGTTGATAGAAACCCAGCCCGAACAAGGAACTCCACATTTCTTTTGACTGCAACCTTCAGTCTCAAGGGGGCCTCTCGTTGCTCTTGAACACGCACATCCCATTCCATTGACCCATCCTCCATCAAGTGCGCTAGTGGCCACAGAGGATGACCTTCATTCCTGGATGTGATGTCTCTTCTGAGAAGTGGTAGCCACTGAGACGCTGGCATCGAACGGATGCTGAAGCCCATTTTCTGGATCAGGCTCCAGAAGGCTCCCCACGTCATTCCATCCTCATGATGAACAATTGCCTTGTGAAGCGAGGCTGGTGAAAATGCAGTACAAACCGCTGCTTCAGCGGTCGTCGCAGCGTCAGACAAGTGTAGCCAGGCGGAGTCGTCGTCACAGTTGTACGCGCCAACGCCTATGCTCGCCGCCGTCAAACGCCATATGTAGTCGTCCGTATTGGCCACCCCTTCTGTTGGTGTTCCAATGATTAGACCCGGCCTGAATACAGCAATGTTTCTTCCACCGGGCGGGCAACGCTCTGCGGCACGTTTCACCAGGACTTCCGCCACGAACTTAGACTGGCTGTAGCCCATCGCTTCGGACAGCTCTCGAGCAACGTCCTCATCCAACTCATCTGCGGAACGGCACTGCCTCCCCCCTGATATGTACGTAAACTTCAGGTTCGGATTCCGAATTGCGAGAGCAGTGAGCTGAACGGTTGAGCGGACATTGACGGCCTCGAGAACCGCGTAGCTTTTGTTCCAATTCACAATGGCGCCGTTGTGAATAATGATATCGATGGAACTTCCCTCGGCCAATGTGTTCCAATCTCCATCCGTAAGCCCGAGGTTTGGCACCCCCAGGTCGCCCTTCCACACTTCCAACTTTTCTCCGTGGAAGTCTGTCCACCAAAGAGCTTTCCGCGCAGCTTCAATGACCCTTTTCCTGGCTATATCGACGGTGTGCCCACGCACAAGGGTAATCACTCTCGCTACATCGTCCCGTTCCAACAGCCGACGCAGGATCTGTGTACCCAGATATCCGTTGGCACCAGTCAGGAATATTGTCAACTTTGCGCTTCTGGCAGGTCTCTTAGGAAGATCATCTGACATGTGTTTCCATCTCAAGAGCTCGGTTTCTTGCCGCTCGATCTGGGCCATAATATCGATCCTACGTGACGGAGCTTGTGCCGGCGCAAGCTTTTTGTTTGTTGTTTCGGCAAGCTTTTCGGCAATGAACGCAGCCAGGCTTCTAGCGCTTGTCCTTTCATCCATCAAAAGTTGAATGCTCACCCGCACTTGGTACTTTGAACGAACGAAGTGCATGATTGACATCATGTTCAGCGAGTCTAGTCCTGATGAATGTAGGAACAAGTCTGCAAACCGATTCGGAGTGCCGCGCTGAAGATGGAATGATTCCCTGGGAAGGAAGGAGAAGATCTTGCTCGCCAGTTCATACGCGAGGACCTCGTCTGATCTGATGTCAGGCGTTGCACAATCAGCTAAAGCATGGCCGTCAATAGCTTGGGCATCGGGCGCAGAAATTTCCTCGATCCAACTTAGGATTAGCTTTCTATTTGCCTTTCCAGCAATGGAAAGCGGAAAGCCTCCGGTGGACAGCTTCTCGATGTCAACCCAATGCCTTGGGACCATGATGCTGGGGACCCTTTCAGATAGCTCGTGCTTGATGTCTTCTAACGCCTTGGCACGGTAGCGGATACGATTCCTGTAGACCACACTGTCTGTGTGTCTCTTGTCGTCGTCTCTGTCGTCATCGTTGTCGTCGTCCTTCTCGTCCTCCTCCATGTCCAGTACGCCAACAAGCTGTTTTGCGAGTGGGCCGGAGGACGGGAAGATGACTACGCCACGTTTGACAAATCGACAGGCAGACAAGTGGGACTCGATATCTCCAAGCTCCACCCTCTGTCCATTGATTTTGATTTGAAAGTCCTTGCGACCATGGTAGATGAAGGATCCATCCTTGGTTCTTTGGACCAGATCTCCAGTCTTGTACAAACGAGTCCCCTTCCCCCAGATGGAGCTATCGATGAACGACGCGGATGTTTGTAGATCGTCGAGATATCCATTAGCCAAAGTTGGGCCCTCAATTAGGAGCTCGCCCACTTCGCCATCAGCCACCAAAGTGTTGACGTCGTCTGCATCAACTACCCAGCAAGAGCACCCTACAGGGTACCCTATAGTCCTGGCTTCTGCCCCAATGGCGCAGGCTTGAACTGTTGCAATGACAGAACATTCGCTGGGTCCGTACGCGTTGAAAACCTTGGCCCCTGAATCTAGCCACCTGGCAATGAGGGGCTCATCGGGGGCTTCGCCTCCAAGAATCAGGGTTTTCAAGGACGGTACATTGGATGGTGCTAGTAGTCGAGCCACAGATGGCGTGAGGAGCGAGAGACTAACGTTCGTCTCCTTTACGAAATCCAGTATTCCTTCGACACGTTGGTTTTCTGTCGGGACGCAAACAGTGCCGCCGTGTATGAGCGTGGTGAGAATTTCGAAGAGGCTGGCGTCGAAGGTGTAAGAAGAAAACTGTAGGACGCGATGGTCACTGGAAATACCGACGGCCTTCCCATGAGCCGTTGCCCCAGAAGTGAAAGCAGAGTGCGAGATGACAACACCCTTGGGAGTTCCAGTAGATCCAGAGGTGAAGATAACGTATGCTGGATTTTCGGGATTGCTTAATCGGGCGAATCCTGTGGTTTTGGATTGCAAAAGTACTCCTAAGGAACTCCTATCCGCAACCACCGTAGTCGCAATGCCAAGGTCGGTGGCTTTAGAGTGGAAGGCAGACACGATCCCGACTTTCGCCTTGATTTCGCTCATGATTGCTCTGAGACGTGATATCGGTTGGTCAGGATCCAGGGGCACAAAGGCAGCACCAGCCTTCATCACCGCAAGCATGGCGACAACCGTCCAGACGGACTTCTCGAAGCAGAGTGGGACGAAGTCTGTAGTTGCAACGCCCACACTTTTTAGGTGTATAGCAAGCGCAGAGGACATTGTCTCGAGGGAATCGTAGGACAGAGTGTCTAGTGTCGATATCACTGCTTCCTTTCCCGGGTGAGCCGTGCTTTGCTGTGAAATAAGGTCGTTGATCGTGGCAGAAATCTTCACCGGCAAAACGTCGTCTCTTCTCGTCCTTCCGTCAGTTTCTGCCGGTAGCATATCGTAAACAAGTCTCGAGAGCTCGCAGTCTGCCTTAGTGGAAGACGTCGCCCAGGACAGCTGAGTCATGATGATCTTGACGGTTTCGATAGCTTCAGCTACGAATACGCGAGTGGTCGCATCTTCGTCGACGTGAGTCGCAAACTCGACCTTGCCTGGTTGAAGCCAGACCTCGCAGGTAACCGGAAACGTAGTGAATTCTTCCCGATAAATAGGCTTGCCAAGGGGTCCGTGGCCATTCTCATCCCACCCACCGCCAGCTTGAACAACGAGCAAGTTCTGAAACCCGCATCCGCGCTTTGTGTCCTCGTTAAGAGACTTGATCTGCTGAATGCCGGCTTGTTCAAAGGGAATCATAGCTGTGGCTTGGTCTTGAACTTGGCGAAGGAATTCCAGCACAGTGGAGTTCTTACTGATTGAGACTCTCACTGGCACAGTCGCAATTGTGGGGCCTTCGATGTTATCAATGTCTTCCAACGGTGCGTTTCGACCCGATACAGTCGCTCCGAACAAGACATCATCCGACTTGGAGAAGTGACTGATCATGAGAGCCCACGCAGCCCGAACCACTGTTGACATAGTCACGCCGGAGGCTGTGTCCACGTCAATAATCAGAGAATCTCTTACAACGGCGCGAGCGAACGACTGGTGGCCTGGCCTTGGGGCGGCGGGGAAGGTTGATTGTGGGCATTCGCTAAGTTCCCTTTGCCAGTAGTCGGAGCTATGCCTGGACTCAAGCTGTTGAGTATAGGAAATGAACTTGCGATAGTCAGTGGCCGGCTTGACCGCTCGACCGTGATACGTCTCGTTCAGTCTGTTGCAAAGCATGGCTAGAGACCAGCCATCGTAAAGCATGTGATGAATAGTCCACACAAACGTGATATCGCCGTTGACATCAGTGACTAGAGCGAATCGGTTGAGTGAATCTCCAGGAAACATTGGGTTTGCATCGTCGTTTGCCAAATATTTCTCAAGGTCGTCGGAAGTAAGCCACTGCACATGCCCCTTTATGATGGCCTGGAGAGATCCTGCAGATGCCGTGGTGGCAAATCGGGTTCGTAAGATAGGTGAAGTCGCATGTATATCCTCCCACGACTTCTTGAACCGTGCCAAATCGATGGCTTGGGGCAAAGGATGAATCCAACGGCCCGTGTAGCTCCCAGGTCGTGTGAGATTGACTGCCATCAAACCTTCCTGCATGTGAGTGCAGGGATACATGTCTTCAACATCATCAGGCTGAACCTCGCACTGAAAAGAGACTTCTTCGCGCAGCTCAGCCAGGTTAGACTGATCGACAAGCTGGTAGGGGTTGTACTGGTTTGATGCTGCGTTGGTCTTGTCTGTCGCAGTCCTTTTGCAAACCAAGGCCATTTGCCTTAGGACCGAGTTCTTGAAAATACTGGCAACGTTGATTTGAAGTGCAAGCTGACGGCACGCTGCAACAACTTTTATGGCACCAATTGAGTCGCCACCGAGTCTGAAGAAGTCGTCTTCAGCAGTGATCGAATCTTCGGGAAGACTCAGGACCTTGCCCCAGGCCTTCCGCAGCACCACCTCCACAGGGTTCAACGCTATGTCTGACGTTGACGACAGGGGCATCGAAGACTCAGATGCAGGAATACTCTCTGATAGCAGAGTTACCTGACCCTCGGAAGCATCTTCTTTGTCCCCAATCACTTTGAATTCCAAAGCGTCTGACTCGATTACGGCAACTCGCGGGGTCGGAGGGTTGCCCTGAGTCGGCGAACTCATCAGTTGCTGCAGGGCCATGGTGTTGCCCAAATTGCGAAGTGTCTTGCGATCAATTTTCCCAGAAGGAGACAGAGGCAACTTGTGGCATGGCACTGCCGTCTTGGGCACCATATATGTCGGAAGCCTCTCCGCGAGCTCGATCAACGCTTGCGCGCTCAAAGATTTGACTTCCATCCACACAGGCTCTGCCTCATGAACAAGGAGGCTTACAGATTCGTGGTTCTGGATCATTGATTTCGAGCAAGCAACGAATGCTGATAGTACTGTGGTTTGTGTTCCACTCGGTTGAAGCAGCTCAACGGCAACGTCCCAAGCCGGCGCATTCGGCATCGCAAATGACGACTGCGCACCACAAAAGAGCTCCTTGAGTTGGTGCTCTATCTCTCCAAGCTCAACGCGTTGGCCGTTTATCTTGACCTGAGAGTCCTTCCGACCGAGAAAGTCGATTGACCCATCAGGATTCATACGGCCAAGATCGCCTGTTCGGTAGCAGCGCCCGGGATGTCGAACAACTCCTCGGAGGAATTCAGGATCATCGAGAAAGACTTCCTTAGTCTTGACATCATCGCCGAGGTAGCCGCGTGCAACGGGAGGTCCCTCGATGACTATCTCGCCGACAGCTTTGAAAGGTGCCAGATGTCCGTTCTCGTTCACAATCCAGACAGCGCAATTCGCGGGTCGCCCAATAGAAATGCTCTTCACACCTCGAACTCTCGGCTCACTGACGATGGTGAGGGCAGAGCATTCCGCAGGACCATATGCGTTGATGGTCTTGACGTGGTCAGCCCAAGTATCAGCAACGGCTTGTGGCAGTGCTTCGCCAACTAAGCAGAGAACGTCGAGGCTGGGAACATCTCCAGGACTGATAAGGCTGGCCACCGATGGTGTCAGCATAGCCCAATTGATGTTCATACTGGAAATGCAAGCCGTCAAATCGTTCATTCGCTGTTCCTCGCTAGGAATGCAGAGACAGGCCCCAGCCATGAGAGAAGTGAAGATCTCTAACATGGATATGTCGAAGGAGAACGAGGAGTATTGTAGCACTCGGGAACTTGGGGAATCGAGATATATGGCCTTGGAGAATCCCTTGGCACTCGAAGCGAAGGCAGCGTGTGTGACCACCACGCCCTTCGGCTTGCCAGTTGATCCGCTAGTAAACACAACGTAGAGAGCGTCATCAACATCCCTCGACACAGAAGATGAGCGTGCAGGGGTAGCGAATGGGAGCCTCTCGATAAACAGTTTATCTATCACCATCCTTTTGTTTGGTGAGATATGCGGAGGAATCTGATGTTGACTCTTCGCTGAAGAGATCACCACTGAAGCTTGGACGTCTTCAATTATCATTTCCAGGCGGGCGGCGGGTAGTGAGGGGTCCAAAGCCACAACGGCACCGCCCGCGCTGAGGACTCCAAAAATGGCGATGATGCTGTAGGCGCACTTTTCGAAGATGATCGGAACGAAGGTTCCACGCGTCACGCCCAAGTCGGTCAGGGAGTTGCCGAGCCTATCAGCGTATTGCAGAAGCTGGCCATAAGAGAGGCCGGCATCCCAGGCGCAAATAGCCTCAGCGGATGGGCGTAGTTTGGCTTGGTTGGCCACGAGATCATCAATAAATACGTTCTCTCTTCTCTCCAATCTGCACAGCCATTAGAAGTTGTTCTCTGGGATAATAAAATGCGGTACTCACGGTCGGTTAAGCTGAACGAGGTGGCGTTGGCTGGCCGGGCCTAGTATCTGGATGTCTTCCAACTTCTGCACTTCCCCTACCGAGGACGACAACTGCCAGAGCACATTCTCCAAGTCGTTCAGTAGAAATCTCACTGAGGTTTTAGAAACGACTTCGTGATTGAAAGTGGCTGCCAAGGCGATCTCGGTTCCATTCATATGACATTCAAGAACGAAGTCATACTTCGTTGAATCGAATGGCGGTACGATGTACTGGCTCTCTACAAGGTATACATTTGTTCTCAGATGAGATTTTGTGGTGAATGCTTTACCACTGTCTGCGGAGTTTCTGTTCATAGATTGCTCAACATACTCGAGAAAGTCCGCAATGTTGCTGGTATGACTGGTGGCAACGCTCACGTCCACAGATGAGATCGACTTGGAATCGTGCTCTGCAATCGATGAATTCAGTCCAAAACAAACGGCTTGCGTAGCGTTTTGCGACGAAAGCACCAGAGCCCAGGCAGCACAAACGACCGACTCGATAGGTCTTTCCACGTTGCTCAAGTCAAAGCATGGACCTCGAACATGAAGCACCGGGCTCTTGAACGATTTGATGGGATTCTGTGTCTTTTCACAGGTAACCTTCTGGGATGGCGCATTCGAGTGTATTGTAATCTCATCCTCGGTGACTTCAGTGACACTGCGTTGGCTGGATGCGGAAAGACCATCAATGTCGCTGGCTTCATTGTGACCATCGTTCATTGAACCGGGCGACTTGAAAGTGAACTTTTTGGGGATTCCCGGAGTGCCACTGGAAAATGGGCTATCGAAGACGAACTCCTCAGGAGCCGGGGCGTCTGCTGGAATAGGCGCATCGAAAACAAATTTGACGGAATGCAGCCTTGGGGCAAGCTTCCATTTGCCGTCAGAAGATAACATCTTGGCTGTTGATGTGCAAATTGGGGTGTAATAGTTTAACGTGCATGAAGATTATCATGCAAGATGTCAGCCCTGGGAAGTGGCGCCAAGACGATGTTGGCGACTCTCGATCATATATCGGTATGTCCCCCACCCAGAAGATCATGCATGCCTCAAGAAGAGTGCATAAAGCGAGCATTCGGACCATCGGCTTTCACTAGCCATATCGAGGATCAAGCATTCGGGCCAGAATTCGAACCTCCTGGCACAGGCAAAATCCTTCAATATGATGAGCCACCCTTCATCCATAAACTCCCATATTATTCGAGACTTACCAGCGGAGCTCCTTTCCGCGCGACCCGAAGAGCTTGAACTTTGCATAGCCTCTCTATGAAGGCCCGAGCTTCTAGCCTTATTCTCAAACTTTTCGCTTACCTGGAAAGGAAGCTGAGTGAAGACATATTGCACCTCGAATCCTTCGACTGCGGTCGTATACCCACAGTTGCGATACCTCCCGCTAATAGCTCCACCGGAAGGCAAAAGACAGATCACATCATAGAGCCTCGTGTTCTTGTGATTCGATAGTGTGAGTCACTTGAGTTCTCGACAGATTCTTCCACCGCTGTGCCCGGCTGTCTTTTGCCGGTGTGGTCACACAATGTTCGACTTGTTTTGCGGAAACTTGAATTGGCTATCCGATTCGCTGTGTCGGAGTCTTGGGGTGTGATCTTCTCCCTAGTACTAGCACCAGTACTAGAGATTTCTAGTACTGGTATATTCTCTGACGTAATAGAAGCCTAGAAAAACCTCTTTTTAATACGCTTAACCTTTCTAGGCACTAATAAATTACTACTAATAAAGGGACTTTATTATAAAGTCTTAGTAGTATAGTTATATAAAAAATAACTATATACCCCCTCTCTTTAGTATTAATACTAGAGTTTTCTACTATTTAACTCCTTCTTACTATATAAAAAGCCTAATATATAGAGAGAGTAGTTTCTAACCCTCTCTATATATTAGAGTTAATATTAAGGGTAGTTAAACCTTTTAAATAATAGAATTAACCCCTCTATAATAGACTCCTCTAATAATAAAGCTATAAATAAAGCTATAGAGTTAGTAATATAAAGTGCTTATATCACTTTAACCTAATAAGAGTAATTATTAAGTAACTACTATATAGCTATTAATAAGGGTAGCTTTATAGTAGTATATATATATACTAGAGGGCTACTAATAAAGTTACCTTATTACTTCTTTAAGATATTCTAAATAACTAAGAAGTAGTTTAATATATTTATTAGATAGCTTAGTAAGTATACTAGCTTAATAAACTCTTAATATATAAACACTAAGTAGAAATTAATAATATTCCTATATATCTTAAGCTAAAACTACTCTTAGTATATTATTACTTATATTTTTAAAATCAGCTAAAATGTAGTTTTATAATATATTAACTTCTTACTTACTGCTTATATTAAACTATATAAAGTATATATTTAACTTATAATAGAGAGAGAGATCTCCTTAGAGATTAAAGGGGACCCTAAAAGAAAGGCCTTCTTAGGTTATATAAGCGCTATTAATAGCACTTTAATCTATATTTTTATATTAGAAAAAAAGCAGAAGATATAGTAATACTATAAAGGCTTTATCAGCTAAAATATCTTTATAATAATAAGGTTTAATAACAGCTTCTTATATATACTTATTAGTATAGAGGGGTTAATCTATAACTTAAGGCTAGTAATATTTATATATAACTAGGGATTTACTATACTAAAAGGTAGATATTTCCTTACTAATACTAGGTTTAGAGGTAGGAATAGCCTTAATATTTTATACTATAAAACTTATTACTATCTATAAGATTAGAAGGATATAAACTTATTACTAATAACTACTTAAAAGCTATATAATCTAAGGTATAGCTATCTTTAAGTTATTATAAAGTAAGCTTTTAGTTACCTTAAGAAGAAGTTCTATATTATTTAAAGTTTAGTACTAAAATATAGCTTAAAATAATAAATTATTATAATATATATAGTAATAGCGCTCTATAACTTTCTAATAATCTACCTACTAATAAAGATAAAATAAGTAGAAAGAGAAGGTTAAGATAATATTAATATTAATATATTATAGCAATAGGTAGATAATTACTATATAAGTAAGTTAGTAAGTAAAATTTATAATATTATAGTAGTAGAGATATAATTAAAATAGTACTAAAAAAGAAGTAGTAGGCAAAGTAGTAAATAAGTTAATATTAATATTAATAGAAGTAAGTAGGCATAGTTATATATAATAAAAACACTCTTTTTTTTAATACTAACACTATAAAGTATTTATATAAAAAAAACACTAAAAAAAAGCCCTCCTTTTACTTCTCTAACATTTAGTTAATATATAATCTCTTAAGTTTATTATCACCTTCTATTTTATTCTAAAGAACTACTAATAATATTATAAAGTTTTAAGGCTTTAATAATAGCTTTCTTATAACTATAATATACTATACTACTATTAACTTACTTTAAAAATTAGCTTTAAGGTTAATAAGAGCTATATTAATTACTAACTTACTTTCTACTATCTTTTCTAACTTTAGCTTCCTCTTTAAGTATACTAGTTAAATACTTTAGCCTATATATACCTAACTCTTAGTATTTATAATTATCTTACTATATTTTTATAGTCTTAATATATTAAAAGAGAGGAGTAATATTTATAATACTAAATATTAAAGTAAAAGTATATATAATAGTATACTTAATATAAAATAGTTACTTTATAAGGTTAATAAGGTAAGTAGACTAAATATACTATTAATAATATTATCCTCCTCCTTAATAAAGTTATTAACTTCTTCTTTATAACTACTTTTACTACTCTTAATATTAGCCTCTATATTAGAGTCCCTCACTTATATAAGGTTTTCTATAGTATATATATTATCGCTAATACTTAAGCTTTTATTCTATATCTCTAAATAGGGCTAAAGCTAACCTAACCCTCTATTCTAGATCTATAACGCCTTTAAGTTATTAGCTAAAAAAGCTATTTTTTTATCTTTATTAATATATACTGCGCTAATAATCTTATTAAAAGTATTACTAGATTTTAGTACTACTTATACCTATAGAGAGAACTTCTTCTTCTTAGTATAAAACTTATTATATATATAGTTTAGCGTTATAATATAGTTAAAGACCTTTATATTATTAAAGCTCTTTGTAATCTCTATTTATACTAGCTTTAGAGCTTATAGCTTATTAACATTTAGCTTCTTCTCTTAAAAAGTATATAGAAGATCCTATATAAATACTACTATTTAATAAGCTAATTAGTATATCTATAAGCCCTTATTTTTAGTATTTCTAGCTTTAATTATAAGTAGGGGGGTATTATTATTTAATAGAGATATTCTCTTTTACTTCTTTAATCTTAGATTTACTAACTTAATAAGTAGTAGCTTAATTTACTTAACTTTATTATTATTAAAGTTAGAACTCTCTTCTATAATAGGTATAATAATAATAATACTTTCTTAGATATCTAAGCTTTTATTAGCTTACTAGCTATATATAAAAGTACTTAAAGTTATTATAAGAAGGTATAACTTTAGCGTTTTTATTATAATATATAAGAGGCTATAATATAAATAAAGTTTATATAAACTAGTAAAGTATATTAGTTAGCTAGCTAAGGACCTTAGCTATAAAGGTAGTAAGTATATCCCTTACTAAATTTAGTTAAAATACTAACTTAGTAGTAAAATAAGTACTTTTATTATAAATCTAAAATTATATAAGGGATGTAGGGTATTATTAGAGGTCACTTTTGCTGTTAAATCTTTAGTATTAGTGCTAGTACTAGGGAGAAGATCACACCCTTGCGTGGATAATATGTCTCTCTCTTTGGAAAGGCTGACTTTGCTTGTGTGTTACTAACCGTTCCAGTCAATGATGGGCCGGCTGTGTAAGGCAAAAACGACATTTGTCATTGGTGACTGGTGCAGGTGAGGTTCGTGACAGGGCCCAGAATCCTGGTACCCATTGGTTCTTTTGTAGCCGATGCATGCAAGGCGGCTGCATGCTGTGCCTTGCATGGGTTCGTGGGATCCAGGCTTCGACGCATCCTGCCTTCTTCCCGCCGGGCGGGACCAATGCTTGTACTCGAGATCGTTGCTTGAAGAAGCCATCCAGGAAGAACTTCTACATAGGTGCCTAGCGAGAGCATGCAGTTCAATCCTTCAGACCCACGAGAGGGGTGGTCAGCGATAAGGCAGGACATCGTCGCATTCCTTGATGTGATGCTGAACGTTAGTTGTGTCTCAACTCCATCAGCGCCTTTAGTGCTCATTCGCCTTCCTGTTGCGGTTGGTGACAGGGCTTTGATCCATGTCTAGGGTGTACACCCCAACTGTGGCGGTCAGGCAGTGTAGTGGGGGCGAGACCGGGCAAATCATTCAGGAATCTCGACATGGCCCTCTTATTGTTCCCATCCCAGAGCGTGATGAATGAAGATGTTCTTGCCTAGTCAATCTTTCTCGACGGTGTCTTTCCCCCTTCCTCGTTGTCCGAGTCAGTGCTCAACCCGTATTCAAAATGGCTTTGCAGGGTAAAGGACAGGTTGATGAGCGCACCGAAAAGCCTGCTGATGCTCAGTCCAAAACTTCCGGCAGTCAATCAGATGTGCCCAACTCCTCTGAGAAAACGACACAAACAGGCGATCTTCCTGGATGGAAGGCCTTTCTGATTTGGCTGGCCATCGCCTTTGGAGTCTTATGCACTTTTCTTGATGAGGGAATCATTGCAACAGCCATCCCAAGAATCACGGATGATTTCGGTTCTCTGAAAGATGTCGGTGTAAGTGAATATCATTCTGAAGCAAATCAGAACACCAAGCACTGACACTTTATCCAGTGGTATGGATCGGCGTACCAGATGACTCTGTGTGCTTTTCAGCTGGTTTTCGGTCGCATGTACAATCAGTTCAACATTAAGATTGTC